TTGGGACTTGTACATATTTATACCAAAATGTACGACATCACATCCCAGAAGTCAGAGTCACCACCATGAGAACCTCAGACCTCGTCACATATACGAACTTCATAACGCCACGTTGTTATACGGAAGCCTTGCAAGACTTTCTCCCAGAGATGTATCCATTGGCAGGGCATGTAGCACGAATGGGGAGAAGGGGCATGCATATGGGATACTGGGGGGGAAGCCAGAAGGAAAGAGACCGCTTGGAAGACCAAGGCATAGGTGAGTTGACAGTATTCAAATAGGTCTTAGATAGGACGGGATGGTATGGATTTGATCAATCTGGCTCAGAATAGGGACCAGTGGAGGGCTGTTGTAATGAACATTCAGGTTCCGTAAAATATTGGGAAGTTCTTGATTAGCTGCACAGTTGGCGGTTTCACAAGATGGGCTCAGCTCCGTGAGTGAATGGATACATTTGTGCAATGAAATACGCTTGATACACGAAGTACTTATTTCAACTGTGTACTCATTTGCTTATTCTCAATGCAGATATTTAACCGTATTGAATTGACTTTGTGGTTTATTTTACGGTTCTGTCAATATCCAAACTGTATAGCGTTGAATGACATGATGGGCGCAGCACAATAGACCACCACTGTAGGTTGCGGTGCGAGGGCAGAGGAGGTCTACCCCTCATACATTCATACATGATGGGTGATATCGTAGCAGATTATCACCGCTTAACAGGCCGTCTCAGTGCGTTGCTTTTGGAACCACCACTCGAATTGCATATGCGGCTACAATTTGATTTCAGTGCCACGGGATCAAATACCATGCGATAGCCGTCCTTCAGATATTTTGAACAGGTACCCACTCCACACACTGAACCCTAATCCATCGACAGTCAACGGTAGGGGCGAGACGAAGGACACTGTTGCTTCAAGTTGCCTACAAGTGAAATACCTGTTGGAATACGCACGATTTTGTCCCAGAAATGATGACCCATCCTGTTGGGTAGTTTCCATACGTACAGTATTCAATGTATTTTTTTAAGTACCCGACTTTACATTGTATTAAAATAGAGGGACAGGGCTCGCGTGCTCGAACAGTAATGGAGGGTGAGTATGGAATATTCCAGGACGCTTGAGATTGAACGGAGATGGAAGAAAGAGACAGGGAATAGTTTGCGCGTGTCAATGTGAGCCCCTTGCCCCTCAGCAGGTCGGATCATCCCATCTCCTTGCTGGAACGCGTTTGTGCTGAGGAGGGCCGTCTGCAGGGTAAAGGGAACACCAAAGCAGATCGATCTTAACAGCGGCGACGGTGAAAAGTTACGGTTTCATGATTCTGGAACGCCTGCGGTAGTCTGGCTGTGCTATGTGTAAAAATCGATATGATGACCTTCAGATTGTGGACTGTCATTCCGAGGTCATGCTGTTGTGCATTTACTACGCGTTAATAACATATATTGGAGTCTGAGGTTCTTACAGCGGTGGATATGAGGAGCAGTATCGTCTGGGGTGTAATGCCGTGCGGTCCGCTGAAAACCAACTTAATTTCGGAGGAACATTTCGCCTCCATCTTCAGCTAGCTCCATGGATTTGAACCCTTCTTGAGAAGCCACCAGTTGCGCACTTACTCAAGAATTTCGCACATTTTATGGAACCCGAAGGTTCACTACCGTGTTCTCAGGAGTCCTCCATCGGTCCATATCCTGAGACAGATCAATGCAGTCCTTTCCATCTGTCTAAGATCAGCTTACTTTTAATAACATCAGATTAAATATGGAGATAGTGGAGAAATTATAGTTGAAGGAAAGAAAAACTCCCAGACCGCACATTAGGCTTATATTATCGTATTATTTTATAGGCTATTTGGAAATTTTCGAGCGTTGCACGGCCATCATGTTATTGATGGTGACAGTGACATAGAAGTAGCAAGGGATATTCATACCGAATTCCACGAAAATTCATCGGTTGAATCAGGAGTCGGGGGGGGGGAGAAGCAGAAACACGAATATTCTAGATCATAGTCATAGAAATATTATAGAATGTTGGTGACCTTGCAACCATCCTGGCGACGCAGCGACGTTTCCTGTATATAACTGTATTGATTTTGTTTCTGACACTTACCCCCTCTATACCCCCCAACGGGTGAATCGCATCAATGGCCTTGAAACGTTCCAAGCAACAGATGAGTTTACAAAATATAAGAGGGTTTATATTCACAGTGCCATGTTGTGGCAGGGTTTGGGTTTACTAGTTTGTCCGAGCTAAAATGGATGATTTATGGCACTCATTTATTGATTCCAAAACTGTATAGCAGCACCGGCAACTGAAGGCTCCACAGACTGTTTCAGCAGCCACAAAGCATAAACCACTCAATCCCACCGTCCTGTTGAGAGAGCCTGTCCAGTAAGTGGCAATGCAGATTTGGAATTGTCGCTGAACTTTAAGGTGGCACGCGGTAGCGTAGTTGGTTGAGGCACTATGCTACAAGCCGGAAGGTCGCGGGTTTAAGTCCCGATGAGGTCACTGAATTTTTTTCAATTGACCCAATCCTTCCAGCCGCACTATGGCCCTGAGTTCGACTCAGCCTCTAACAGAAATGAGTACCAGGAATATTCTTGGCAGTAAAAGGCGTCCGGCGCTTAAGGCTGACAACCTTACCGCCATCTATGAGCCGATTGTCTTGAAAATGTGGGAACCTCAACATATATGGGCCTCTATGGCCTGTTGCAGGGATAACTTTTCTTTTTTTTTTTTTTTACGTTCTACTGTCTTGGAGATCTGTAGAATTTCTCGCAGTCCCCTCTAAACAATTTATTCTGATTTTATAAATCTGTCGCTGAAATATTTTTCTTTTATATTCTCTATGGCTAAATCTAAAATATCTTCCTTATATATTTTATAGTATATAAATATTTGTTTAACTTTTGCAGTAGGTATTCTTTTTCACTTGCTTTGTCACTTCTGATATTGATACCTCTTGCCTACATTCATCAATTTTAAAATGTGCTCTTCTTTGGCTGTAAAAGCCGCCCTTTTTCTGAACAAGTTTCTTCGGTCATTGCTGTTGCCGGTACATAAATGAGATGACCCAGTTCAGTTCGGTCCAAGTCTTCTGTGGCGAGTATTTCTGAAAGTAAATTTACTTTGTGGCATTCCTTCATTTTGTAGACTTGAGTAATTTTAGGTTTTCGTTTCCGAAGTCTTTTGTTTATTTCCAACTGAGAAAATTCATACCCTAAAACTTCTAATATGTTGGTATTTGTTGTTTTTATTGCCTCAGTGTTTCCAGTTCCTTAAGACCCTTAATTTACAGTTGTCACTTGTTTGGTTATTAAACATATCATTACGTCGTTTGATTTTCTGTCAGTAAATTTACATTATCTTCTGGTAAGGTTGTAATTTCTTGCTATATTATCTCAGATCTGTAATCTCCTTGTTATTAAGAATATCATTTTTCCTGATTCAGACGTTTCTTGACAACACTGTTCATCCTAGTATCTGGATATACGCGTATTTGCCTCTAGAATTCACAAATACTTTTATAATTTTCTGATCTAAACGGTTTACAATACACGTAACAACATAATGTATAAGGGGTGGGCCTTCTTGGCCCTTGCACCGCGACCACAGTGATCTATTGTGCCTTATATATATTATTTTCAATATTATTATTAATATCATTATCATCATCTTAATACAAACTTATATAGCTAATTAGGCCTGTGTTCTTATCTTGCTGCCTGAAATCTTATTATTTCGGATATAAATATGTCTTTCCACGTGGAGGGTAGCTCGTTTCAGCTACTGTTGAATCACGATGCAACAAATTGATTTATCTGGCGAGTAGTATATGAAAAACGTAAAGAGGCTACCTGCGAAATTAATGGTGGAACTAAATTTGTGTTTTAGAAGTCAGTATTATTACTGCAAAGTTATTGTATCATTGCGAAATCATAAATTATTGTCGTTCTTATCAGATATTCACCGTATCGAAATATGATTCAAATACATGTTCTTGATCTCAGTTAATTTTATATATCATGTTATGTGCAAATGGTCTGTGCGATTCTCCATTTTTAAGACATCGATCAAGTTCGATTTGAGCTGCACTCGAAGTTCGACTTACAGTTGGCCAATATGAGCCAAAAATAAGGTCTTCCTGCTACTTTCAGTGTATATTTCAGCAACCAAATTAAATGGACATTATGTCACAGATAAAACAGAGGCATTTACACATCTTTATAAAGATGCACAAGAATCCCAACGATAAAAAAGCGACAGACATTAAGAGTTACTCGATTAAAAATGAAGTATTCGCTGTAGTAATTAGAAACATGCTGTATCAACACTAGTCTGAAAATGACTGAAAATTGTGTATTGTTTACAAGAGATGTATAGGCTTAAATCTTTCAGCGAATAATAGGCATTAACATCCAATGAAGAATGAACAAAACTTTTGCCATACGTGTTTGCGAAAGTGGAAGTTTTACTGATCTCTTAACCCACGACATCTGTTTGATACTTTGTATTCATCAATACAAAATTAAGATGTTTCAACATAGTGTCTCAGTGTTATCATGATAGTTCCGTGTATGCATGTGGGAACGTCTATTGCCCTATAGTCCCTTGTACTGCGGCCACTTCTGGCCTATTGTACCAGTCCCAGATGATAGGTGAGGGTGATTGTGGAGCAATTGGTGGAATGAAGATGGGCAGGGAAAACCGAAGTACTCGGAGAAACCTGCCTCAGCTCCACTTTGTCCACCACAATTCCCACTTGACCAGACCCGGGATCGAACCCGGGCCGCCGCGGTGGGAAGCCAACGACTAACCGCTTGAGCTATGGCGCAGCCCTATTGCCCTGTAAGTGACACGGTGACGTTCCTAAGCCGTCAAAGTAGCAACTGGACTTCCTACAGCCGTCCAACTATGCCAATGGGTTAAGGACAGGTCTATAGTAGTCTTCAGCCCCTTAAAAAGTCTTCAAACATATCCTTTCCATTTCAGGTGCGGCTGTAAGACTGGTGACTAAACTTTCACTTGGTGAGTACCCAGAGCTAATATTCTTTTTAGGGTGCATGTTGTACTTTATAGTCTATCTACCCTTTCACACCGGAACTGATGCATTTCCGCTGTCACTTCGCTCACTGTTTTTCCACCTGTTTTAGACATTGTCTATGGGGAGTTGGCCGCTTAAATAAAATTGATCTTCATGAGACGTCGTTAAACACTGTATCTGTTTTCCTCTTTCGTTAGGGCTCAGATACATTTGAATAGGCAGTTCTTTATTCACTGGGTAGTAGGCCCGTCGTTCTGGGGCGGGTTATGCATTGATTACCATGTATCAGAAATATGCTAGGGGTCACGCGGTAGCGTAGTTGGTTGAGGCACTATGCTACAAGCCGGAAGGTCGCGGGTTCAAATCCCGATGAAATCATTGGATTTTTTTTTCAATTTACCTAATCCTTCTAGTCGCATTATGGCCCTGGGGTCTCTAACAGAAATGAGTACAAGGAATATTCTTGGGGTTAAAGGGTGGCCGGCGCGTAATACTGACATACTTACCGCCATCTGTGAACCGATTGTCTGGAAAATGTGGGAACCTCAACATCTCACAACCCTTTGGGCCTCCACGGCCTGTTACAGGGATACCTTTACTTTTTTACTGTATATGCTACAGGACTTTTTCCTTTTCTAAATCAGAAGTGACTTTCACGCATTCCTTTTCTATGCTTTTACAGAACCACAGGGTCAAGGTCTGTTTACTTGATCTTTATGTTTGAGTGTTCAGACATTTCACCGAAGGAAGCAGCCATTACACAGTTACACTCCGAGGCTTATTAGGGTTCGAAAGCGTCTAACTAGAATTGTAGAAGTACACGAATATTAATTTTGACTGCGTTTTTGCGTGGTTTCCTCAGACCCTCCAGACGAATTGTTGTTTAGTACTGTTAAACTGACTGTACAGTTTTCTACCACTTTCTTCCACATTCGTAATCACCGAACCTTCTCTCATTGGACGAAACATTACAGCATCAACAGCTAATATAAGGCTGTGAATGAGCAGAATAAGAAATCAGATTCGACGGTTACCCAGAATA